AGTGATCTTTCGAAGTAAAAGTTGAGATTAACCAAGAAGAATAAAATTTTTTATATAGTATTTATAGATCTTAAAAAAACGTATCATAAAGTGCCTAGAAATATAATATCGAGGGTATTTGAGAGAAAATGAATAACGAATAGGTATAATGAGATAATAAAAGACATGTATAATGGGAATATGACTACAACTAATCTTCTGTAGGAGAAAGTAAAAAATTTTCAATCAAGGTGGGATATCAATAAGGATCAGTCCTAAGTCCATACCTATTCACCCTAATTATGGATGAACTCACTAGACACATTCAAGATGATGTTCTATGGTATATGCTATTTACAAATGATATTGTCTTAGTAGATGAAATTCATGGTGAGATTCCTTATTCTTTTTCCCCTCCTTTTTCATTACACCTTCTAATTCTCATTTGCCTTCTCCTCCTATTTTTCCTTTTCCTTATTCGCCGCTCCTTCTTCCTCTTTTCTTTCTCCTGCTAATTTTCCTTCTTCTCCTTTTCCTTTTTCTCCTTCTCTACTACTTTTTTGGTTTTTCATGTCCTCTTCCTCCTCCCCTTTCTCCTTTTCGCTCTCCTACAACAAACCATATTGATGAAAGAATTTTTGAGAACAACAAACCAAATTCTTATATTTCTCACTAAATAGATATTCTAGAACCATCATAGACAAGCACACATAGATAGAGCCAAAATCCTGGTGTACATATAATATGTTAATTATCTTTGATTTGTTGCTTTCATTCATGCAAAGCTTTAAGTAGTTATGGTTTTTGGAAATCATTTTACTCATTTTTCAATTGTTTTATTTACAGGCTAGCAACCTAAAAAGATGAGGGATCATGACATTTTTGTTGTCCACATTTTTTTAATGATTAATTCATTCAAAACTTTCGGTCCCGATTATAAATTGCCACTAAATGTGTTCACTTTTTGCGGTGAATAAATGTTGTCACTATATGTTTGGTTTTATTTATTCACTAAATATATTTAGCGCCAACTTGTTGAGTTTCAATAACAAAATTATTTTAATTAGCTGCAATAAATATTTGACATTTAGTAGCATTTTTTATTTTGTCGCTAAAAATTTTATTTTTAGTGGTAAATTTACAAATGTTATAGTTAAATGATTTAGTCATATCACATATTGCTGAGATTCAATGACAATAAAAAAAAAGTTATCACTAAAACATATAGCGACAATTTTTTAACTTTTAGCTACGCCAATTGTGGCGGCTAAAACTGTAATTTCTTGTAGTATAACTTGCATTTTTTTTTTTTTTGTGGTGTGTGTGAATAATGGACATTCAAACAATGCAATTTCTATGAGCTGATTGTTAATAAGGCCGGGGAAAAAGTGGACACAACAAGAAAAAAATCATCTGTCAGCGTTTGATAGAAGTGCCGGCAATTGAATGAGATGCCGGCATTTATTATAAATGCTAGTGAGGTTAAAGCCAAAATGACATAATTTTATGTAGGAATTTTTTTTCTTGAATTTATATTCTCTGTATACATTTATATCCATTGAAATCCCTGAAAAACTTTTTCCTAAATCTTTTTTGGTATATCTTCTGCTCCCAAATACCTCAAATCTTATCTCCTTCAAATCTATTTGGCCATGGAATCGGAATCGAAATCGAAATCGGAATCAAGGAAGTTGTGCTCTCCAAATCATGTTACTATGAAATTGAGTTTTTCATTGTCTTTCCATCCATTACTTAAAATGGTCTTATAGTTTACAAGTCCTAACTTCTATTCACCATTTCTTTGTCAATTTTGAGTAATTTTTTTTTTTAATTATGACAAAATATAAAATAAGTTTATTTATTAAAGATGATGTATGTAGCATGGGTAAATTTAATTATTAATAGGTTGAGTATAAAAAGGGTGAATTTAATAATTTAATAATGATAAATTAAATAGAATGAAAATAAAGATATGTGAGAGGAAAAAGACGTAATAATTAGTTGTTCTAAACCAATAAAGGAGCTTCCCTGGCTGTGCCACCAGACCAGAGCAATGGACATTGTTTGAGGGACTTCAACTTTTTCCATTCTGCAATGACCAAAAGATGGGTAGTAGCGACGCTAGGCAGAAGACAGGAAGGCGCAAGGATGAGGGTAGGGTAGAGCAAGATTGATGGCTTTGGGCAAATATGTCATTTTAATCATTTATTCGGTACAAATCCAACCGGGTACAAATTTAACGGGTACAAAAAAGCAATCTAATCCTTCCCTTGCCACTATACAAACATGAGCCCCCAGAGGATAACGGCTACCATCTCACGTTTCACCTAGTCTGGACTAGGAATATGAGGGGCTGGGCAGTCGTCTTTGGAGGACCAACACTCGCTCCGTACACGCCTACGACTAATCGCTCTGCAAAAGTACTAAGAAATCGCAGTAGGTACAGGGCTTCATTGCCTCTGCCTTTTTCTGGGTGTCAAGTGAAACCACATGGCCTCTTTACTTGGCAGTGTAAAAAAACTCTCAACTGTGCATTATCATCTTCCGAACCCAGTTGGGTTGATGTTGATGAGTCAAGAGATTTCGGGGATGATGAGTTTATAGTGGTGAATTTCTACCGTTTTGTGTTCATCAAAAACCCAGAAGAGGAGGTGTCCAAACACCTCGCCTTTTTGCAGGTTCTTTCAACCGTTCCCGTTCCATTCTTTCTACATTTATTGATAATTTTCATGTTGATTACATTATGTTTGATGGAGTTTCTGATCTATTAACTTGGAGAAATTATAGTTTAATTCAAGTAAGAAGCCTAGGCCAAGTGTGTTTTTTTATCTATATATGCAATGATAATAGTTCCGGGGGAAGGTATAGGAAATCTTGAATGTAAAATAGAATTGGTTCGGGAGATTACAAGGAGAAGCTTTAAAAAATGGGAAATGCAAGTGAGGAAGTTCGTACAAAATCACTAAGTGGTAAGGAACATGTATCCCATCTACCAAGCAAGCTTTGATGATGTCTGCAAGATGATCATACTTAAATTCTTGGTTTATGAAACACCTTCAGAAAGGAAATGAATGTGATTATTGAGACTTTAGGTATTATATTGCTTCTCTCAAATGTCTGATAAGGACGCAATGAATCACCGAGGATAGAAGCTTTTCTTCAAGCCTTGATTGTATGTGGATCTTTGAGAGTAGAAAGGGGGTGAACAAAAAAGCGCATAGAAATGAAATGGGCATTTTTCCTTTCCTTTTGGAAAGAGATTAGTTTGTGTTGAAGAACATCAAGAAGCTGTTTTGAATAAGAAAACCTCACATGCATAGGGCGAAACCTGCTCTCTAGAGCAGAAGAGAGATGCCTTCAAGAACTGAAGGAGACACACATTCCTTAGATTATTCTATGTAAACGTGTAACCAGCCAAGGAGCCAGTAAGAGGAGTATGGTTCTTTAAGACGGCCACGAGTGCCTCATGACCAAAACTTGATTATATATTCTGGGTTTCTTACCTTATATTGAAATTGGCAGTGCGAAGGCATGTGCACTATCATCTAAATGCAATGATGGCTTGATATATTTGGATTTCATATTGTTCTTTTTTTTTTTTTCAAGTTTATGGAAATGAGATCTTCTACTCTTCTACTCTTAGCTGAATCAAACCATCCCAAAAGCTTATTGAATTTGTCAGTTTCTCTCTTGATTCATTATCTCATAAAGCCATACTCTGCGACTTTCTTCACAAGACATGCTTTATTCATGTAACTCAGAAAGTATAGTTTAGTTTGAAAGACCAAACTCTGGCTAAGCTAGGGCTAATACATTGTAGGTGAGTTCCTTTTCCCTTGGAGTTCCATCACAGATTTTCTTTGTACTTTTACATACAATACTTTCTACCATGTACATACTTCCCAATCATTGTTGGTTCTTTTCTCTCTCCCCGTCTCTCTATCTAGTGTTCTTGGGGGCAAATTGTCTTTTGCTTCTTTGTATGTAAAAAGAAAGTAACAACGCTTTGCAAATAGGAAAATGGTTATGGATGCAATCTAAATGATGAGACTCTGGTAAAAAACTGAAATTTTCTGCAAGCATGTAATTTTAATTCAATTGTTGTTGTTTTCAGAGATCTCAACATTCAAAAAGAACTCTTTGGTTGCAGGGTATGAAATATTTTGTTGTGCAATCTATATTGATGCTGGAAATGCCTAGTACACATGGAGTTTACAAAAATGTTATCAAAATCTGTATAATGTATTAAAGCATGGATGACCAACGTCAATTGACAACTGTTTTTTGTGTTTTATGATGGTTTTAGGATCGTGACATACACGGAAGAATATATCTGAATGAGCAGGGGATAAATGCGCAGGTATGAATTTTTCCCCCTTTCACGTGCACAAATGCCCGCATATATATACATCTATATGTGTATATATATACACACACACTTATGTATATACATGTATTTTTGGCGAGATGAGATAAGAAGTCTTAGTACATTCGTGTTTCATTAAACATTTTGTTTGTACTTGCGCGCACGTGTGTGTACATGCATGTGTAAGTGTTTATGTGTAGTTGAACTCCAAAATAAATTAGTTAGTATAGTCTGATACATAGCTTCAGTAGTCCCTTTGGTCTTTATCTTTTTCCTATTTGCTATTGCCTAGCTGATCCTCCTTTCCTTGAATCAAGGAAATAATGATAATAGTGAAGTGAGCTTGCATCCCACATCATAAGTTTAGAGACATCAAAGGTTGGTTTATATATTTGAGGGGCTATTTCACCTTTAACCAATTTGTTTTGAGTTGAATGCACTAACATAGTAACATGGTATCAGAGCTAGGCCTTGAGTGGTTGTTCTGCAATCTGTTTGTCGTTCTGTTTCAGTTCAGTTCCAACCTATTTATTTGTTTATATATGTTTGGTTTGTTAGCCCACATGCAAGAACGTGTCGCATGTGAAGATGTGAGAGAGCTTGTATTCCACATTGGAAGTTTAGGTACACCCAAGTTGAGGGGACACTTCACCCTTAGCCAACTGATTTTGGGTCCGATGTCTAGCAAATAATAAAAAGAAAAGAAAAGCTGTTATTCCAAGGTGCATAGAAGATTGTACAAAAATAAGACTATTGAATCATCAGTTCATATAGTAATTTATCTGTGTTCTTTTATTTAGGAATGTCTTAGAGCAGCATCTTATTAGAATCCTTTCCGACACTCTGCTTTTTTTGTGCAGTACAGTGGGCCATCAAAAGATGCTTTTGCATATGTTAAATGGTTGAAAGAAGACCATAGGTTTTCTGGGATATTGTTCCAAGTTTCTGTTGCTTCGAAGGGGCATGCATTTCCAAGATTGAAGCTACGATATAAGCCCTCACTGGTACAGGTATGCTACATGTTTATTGGTTTCCACTGCTTGGTCTAGGACCTTAGGATTGATAACTTCTTGACTTGTATTGTAGCTAGGGGAAGAACAAAGAGCAAATGCAATCTCAAGCTTGAAGACTTCATGGTTGACAAGAAGCATCATCAATGAGCACTGCTTCAAGCTTTAGGGATGAGTCTTAGAATCATAGGAAGGTCATATTATACTTGGTCTTTGTGGGTAGACTATTTAAGTTCCAAAATTGGAAAAATGCAAGTGGAGCAACTAGCTTCTTGGCTGTTCTTTTAGGGTGCCCAGAAATTAAAACTCACTGGATATAGTTTCATTCATATCAAATGGATATAAATGGGTTGAGATCCTAATATCATATAGACATAATAGAAAGAATACAATAGTGATTTGAGAGGGCCTAAAGTAAATTTACATCATCTTCTTGCCATCTAGAAATCCCACTTGTTCAACAATTTGTGAAACAAGTAAAACATTGGGCTTATTTCAATTGAGGTAAAATTTGTGCATTATTGACACATTAAGCTACCACCCATTTAACCACTGCATACTAGCAGATATGCATGGTTGAAGGAGAGCTTGTAAGTCTATGTGAGCTTTGATTGTGAGTAGGCTTGACTCAATTTGAGTCTATATGTCTTTTATTAAGGTGTAGTAGTGGTGTTAGGAGGTTTAGGATAATGCTAGTGAAATCTATTATGCATTGTCTATTGTAGATGGATGTAAGTTATCCTAGGTAAAACCTTCAACAAATCTTGTGAGCCTAGGTAAAACTTATGTTAAGTCCTAGATAAAGGAACTTGTAGTTTGGGTAATGGCAAAGAAAAAAAGGATTGTGTGGTGGTTTGACCATTTTTAGAGCACAAGGTGGTTGGGTTAGCCTAGAAAACACACTTGTTGGATGGATTGAAGCCTAACTAAGGAAGTTGGAAGAGTGGATGTAAGTATATTGTCATGTGATTTGTGTTACTAAAAATTGGCTGCTAATGCCAATTTGTTTAAATGTTACGAAGGCTTGCATTGTGAGATGAACTTGATTAGGATGATTTGCATGCAAGCTCATGTATAAAATACTCTTTTCACAATTGTAGGCTGCTGAATTTGTATGTTGGAGAATAATTGAAAAAAACAGAAACAAAATCAACACAAGGCCTAGTTGACCATCCCTTTAGCAAGGGTTATATGGAAATAGATCACCCTTAACATTGAAACTAGATCAATGATTGAGTGAGTGACATTTAGGGATGGAGCCAAGGTCTCTCCATCATGGGGCAACCATTTGTTGAAGAGAAAAAACAAACAACAATAATTAAAGTTCGTCATGACCGACAAATTGATGGGGAGTAGGTCCGTCAATGGTTGGATTAGATTGGGTTTTGATTGAACCAAATCCGAATCCCATTTGAAAATTCTAGTCTAAATTCAATTTTATTATTAGGTGGGACTCTTTTTTCAATCCATATCCAAGTCCATTTATATGTATATAAATTAGATAAGATCACAATCAAATCGAATTTTGGTCTCTTTAAACTAGAATATGTGGAATATGATATAACGTATTTGGATTCGAGTAATTGGTTTAATCCATGTCTGACTAATCGAACTTAGAATCAGATCGGATTCAAATCAAATTCTTATCTATTAACATGCCTAATTATGAGTGATAATTACACTCTTAAAACCTTGGTTGTTATTGTCGATTGAGGAGTTAGAGAGGAGGGGAGGAGGATTTAGTCTGTAATTTGGTGTGTCATTGCACAGGGAACTCTAAACTGAAGAGAGAGTCATGAGATTGAGTCGTATAAAGGAAGTTTAAGTCTAAATTTTTTATTTATGAAAGAATCCTGTTTCCTCAAAGAATTTAAATTTTTTAAAAAATTTAAACAATCCCCTTAAAAGTTCTTAAAATTGCAGTGGGGCACCTGCCCCACCTTATCTCCACCCCTGGTGACATTGATTGAATTCTTCCCCAAATAAAAGCTAGTGACTGAATTGGCTAAAATGCATTTTTCATTGAATTTTAAGTGTAGCGGATGATAACTATGATTGAATGTTCAAAGAAAATTTAGTTATCCTATTTGCTTCCTCTAGGACTATTTCATCCATGAGGGCTACTGTTCAAGGGGGTGGGAGAGCTTGGACTTGTTTTCCTTTATCATGCCAATAACTACAGAGGGTAACTTCTTTAGGCATGTGTGCTTTTGTCCCTAATAATCGATAGTATGGATAGTTGAAAAGGTTTTCATTTCTTGACTCTCTCTCTAAAATTAATGCATATTCTTTTGAAATTCACTTTTTAACAGAATTATCGCTTATAAAATTTCATCTCCAGTTGGAAGGAGGGATTTCACATCTTCCTTTGCTTGACCCATCAATGCGAGCCACACCTCTCACCCCATCTCAATGGAGGAATAGATTGGAATCAGTAAATAAGTTGGACAATGCATCAGATCTCACCACAAAGAGTGTTCTACTTGATGTGAGAAACGGTACCCCCCTCTTGCAAAATGTTCTTAGTAATATTTCCCCCCTTCTAGTTGTAAGTATAATTGAGTGATATACCTTTTCCAGAATTTGAAAATATTGCAGTTATTTCTCTTTTTATCTGAATTTGAACCTTCTCTAAAGGTACCCAATAACTAGAGTCCATTATCGAAGAAGAACAATGAAAAGCCTGCATCTAGATCTTGATAAAGTTAGTATCTTCCATAAATTCTATTGATTTGCCTGGTAATTGATAACTTTGTTTGCGGGGATGTTTTGATGGTTTAAGGTATGTAGAAGACCAAGTAAAAGAGGTAAGAATGAGAATTCAGACAGAAACGACAAGTAAATAGTAATCTTTTAGAACAAGCACCAAGGCTGCAACTTCTAAATTCGTATTATATGACCACTAACTCTAAAGAGATGAACATAACCCGTTCATAGGCTCTAGCATGTTGCAGTCCTTTGTCCATCTATTCTCACCCCTCAAATAACGAAAACTAGTTGAAGTAAGAAAAGACAATAACCTTTTTCACTTGTACAGTTGCAAGAAGAGTAACTTGCTTCAGCTTCAAGCAGGAGCATAATTGCAGATTTGTGTGGCCATTTTAAATTGTCGATTGGGATCCCGGGATTATCCTCAGATTTGCAGGTCTTGGCCTGCATCACAGTTGCAGGAATACCTGCTATTAGTACTATATTTATAACTTAAGAATAGCAATAAAATAGTAAAAAATTAAAATTAAGTCTAATATCATCCTTGTGAAAATTGTTAAAAGGCCGTGCGTTCGACTTCAGATAAAGACCCACTTTCACCATTACCTGCTGCTGTTGGGGCTAAAATATTTGAGGGTGTGACTGAGGTTGTGGATTCAAATCCAATGGCAGTCACATTTTCCAAATATGCGAAGGTTTGGAGTTGTATCTCTAGTCTACCCTTCATACCATTGTTGAATTATGGGACCATATTGGTAATTACCCTTTAATGACCCTAGGTGAGACATGGACATTGAAAAAAATAGAAGAAGTTGAGCTAGTTATAAAAATGATGTTATGAAAAATGGTCCTTATTTCTGATTAAAGAACTAGATAAACATGAGAAATTTAAATGGAATGACCAAAACAAACTTATTCAGAAATAAAATCAGGATCTGAGCATAATCTTTCTTTTGAGAAATTTTCTTTCTCCACTTATGACCAGACAACTTTATATTTGATGACAAATCTTAATATTTGCAAGATATGTGAGATTAATATATGTTAGCATGAGGGCTATGTTTTTGGGAGGCCGTTGATTCTGGCCTCTTTGTTTGTATTGGTCCCCTAAAATGAATATATATTATGTTTTCGTTTTGTTGTTTGTCTACCTCTCCATGTGTGAGGAGGTCAAATGTGAGGGTGGGGATGAGAGCTTGAAACTCGTTGTTTGACCCACTCTTTAGTAGCTTAAGCTTTTGAGGCTAAGAGGCAGTCTAACAGGGGTCAAATTCTTGGTTGTGTATAACGTTTAAGTGGCAGTGTCAATTTTTCATTGTTTTGAAATATTTAAGATATTTGCTAGAAACAATAAAGGGAAATATAGTCTCGTGAGGATGCGACTTTGATGATATTTGAAGGCAAAAAAAATTCTGATGGTGCTCCAAATTTAGTTTAATCCAGCTCTCAACGGTTCTTATCCTTTCCATAGCAGCCCCTATGGCATAAATCCCAAAAGTTCCTAGATCTCAATACACAAATGAACTGGATAATGATTAAAATATTACATTAAGGATAACTACATACATGTCAACGTACCTTTGTATAGCTACACATCCCCACAGTAGGATTTATAGTCATTCAAGCCATTTTGATAGGCACCAATACTGGTAAATGTATTGTCATACAGGCTGATTATGAACCAAACAAACTTGTAACTGTTACAAGAGAGACCAATAAGGCGGTTTCTCTTTACTGACAACAAATCAATTAATACTATTTTGGACTTGGGCTACTGTCCTTTTGTTTCCCATCTAATTTGCCTTATCTCATTCACCCTCTACCTGTAATGCTTTGTCATAATATCATAGTCATCCATCTTATATATGTTGACAAAAATATATGAATGTACTTTATCTCTTAGTTTTGAGAATTTGAGGCCATTATTCAAATACTGAAATCCGTGATTTGTAATTACTTGTAACCAGGTTATGAATGGGATGTTGGCCACTTTCGTGGGGCTCAACGGCCTGATGTGGGATGCTTTCGAAGCACTTCATTTGGACTGTCCAAATCAGAGGTATGTCCAATTTACAAGGCATCAAATAATAGTCTCTGGAACTTATCCTCATTTTTTGAGAGTCCTTGCGAAACATGGAAAAGGGAGGCTCGACAACCTGATCTCCTCCCTGATCCAGAGATTATTGCAAAAAATGTTGATATGCCAAGCTCAATTGAAGCCTTTTCAAGTTGATAAGACAATTTTTTTTCCCAAGAATGGCAATATCTAAAATTGTTTTCTGCAAGGGCCGTCCATGGTGAAATTGCAGATATTGAAGCCTCGATTGAGTTTTGTGAGGGGTAAGGTCTCTTGTTTAGGTGGGTAGATTGGAATTGTATGTCTGTCAATTGTGAGGGGTAAGTTTTTTTTTAGGTGGGTGGATTGAAATTGAATGTTTTTCATTTCATTTTTGACAAATGGATGATTTTTGTGGAGGCTTCATCGAAGTCGAGAGCGGATTATTGAATGAGTCGAAGTTGTTTCAAGCAAGAATCAAAGTGCATAGATCTTTTTCTGGCTTCTTTCCAACTTCTTTGGAAGCACTTGTTGAATGAAGAAAGGGTAGCATAGCATGCGATCTAGTTTTTTTCATTTTTCCTTATTTGGAAAGAAAAATAATGAACAAAATATCAGTCATTTCTGCTGGAAAAGGTTCATGTGATGCATTTCACGCATTGTTTGGATGGAATACCTATATGTTGTGGTTGCTATGCCTTGTCTCTTTGCTCGTTTTTTCTTGACCAGAAAATTTGCGCATGCGACGGGAATCATTATTTTGGGTGGTGTTAAGCAAGCATTCTGTTTCCTTATTTAACTATGGATGTGTTCTATTTTCTCTTTGTTTCTAAATATCCAGGTCATTGCTTCAGATCCTTTAGCTGGTGTTGACAAAGAGAGAACGGATATATTGATGTACTGTACTGGAGGTATCCGTTGCGATGTATATTCAGCAATCCTTAGGTAGGCCCCGCTATTTACTTCTCTCTCAGTTGTTAACAGAGATTAATCTGAATCAATCCAACTAGGTTGATATTGCATTAAATAGCCAATATAATTTACTAGAAAGTGTTAAGGTAAACTGATTGACTGTGAGAATTTACCACTGCCTCCTGGAGGAGTAGCCTATCATATTCAAGGCATTTTAGTTTGAATACAAATTTATTTTCTCTTATATCAACTAAATAGTATTAGATAGTGCTACAAAGTGTGTTGGATGGTGAATATGTCTGAAAACTAGCCGCCTAAGAAGCAAGGACACGGATCATGGATAGATCATCCTGGTTAGGGTCTATAAGCAATGACAATTATCCTATGAAGACTTGCTTTTGCTATGGCTCTAGTGGGTCCCACCACGGGACACGGGGACAAGCTATTTCTCAAATAAGTAGGATGCGGATACGTTGAATTAAAATATATATATGTAATTTTTATATGACCCATTAGTTCATAAATTTGACACAATACACTTTTTTATATGACCTTTGTTTACAAATTTAGCCTTATACATATTTTTAGCCCAAGTAAATGGACAAATTTGACGCCAATTATGTATGCATGCAGCACAACAATCTAGAAGAGAAAAAAAAAATTGTTGTAAGTTTGTCCTCTCTCTCTCTCACCCCCCTCCAACACTTCTCTCCATCTATAAAAATGTCTACAACGTCTCCCTCTCTTCTTTGTAGACATGGCCACTGATTGGCTCTACAAATCTTTGGTGCTCTGTGGCTTAAGTTTCATCTTTGTTATTGGCCTCTTCATTGTCGTTGTCGTCTGTCTTCATTGACCGCTGCGAAACAACGAAAAATTTGTGAGTTACTGTCAAATTAGGAGAAAACGTATTTGGACGTGTCCGATGTGTTCCATATTCATAAAAAAAAAATAAAAATTTGGACACTGAAATTTGCGTATTTGACACGCGTTTGGACGCGTCTGTGTCCTAGACGTTTCGGACATGCATATGTGAGGGGGCAAATGACATGTCGGTGCTTCGTAGCTAGCCACCATATGAGATTTTTGCATTTGTATCTATACATGTGAGAATCCTAAAAGAATATCTAAACTCCTTGAAAGTTTGGAGCTGAAAATTTGATATAATAATTCAAATTTGTGAATACAATGCGATCCGAGCCTTTATGGGTATCCAACCCCTTGTGGGTATCCAAATAATAAGAAACAACTTATACTTTAACTTTCAAGATACTTGGTCTTTGGCAAGTGGACAATTACTTAAGTAAACGGTAGATAGTTAACACGACACATGAAAACCACTTTCTATTTTATGGCATAGCTAGATAGCATAGAAAACATGTGCTTTATGTTAGTGTTATTGCTTCACAAAAAAGGGTTGCATATAGTGATTTCAAAACGTGTGCCACTGATGCTTGAGGCTTTTTTTGACTCTAGATCAAGTTTTCTTGAATACAGGGAAATGATGCTCATTTGAACAAGAAGAAAAGCAATTTTGCAATGTTACATTTGGAGTGCTTTGGAACGCGTGTCATCAGGTCTCTGAGACATGTGACATGAGATTTGAGATAATACTAATGCTAGACTTCTAATATTCTCTTTCATTGAGGTTTAGCTGTTGGAAACCCTTTGACAATTGGTAGACACGAATCATATTTTAGATAATGTTATTTAGGTTTTATTAGCGGTCCAAAAGAAAGCATAGATTCGCGTCGCCTACTTGCTGAAAGCACAAATGGAATGACCGATCATTCATTGTATGAAGTTTTTAGTCCTTGTAAAATAAGGAGGACACCACAACCTTTAAATTTCTTGGTAACCTTTCTACTCAATAGAAAGTAGGATTGGGAGGAAGTGGAAAAGGGAAGACTCTCTGACATTGTGTTTTTTTTTTTGCTTTCATTTGGGTGTTATGGAGAGAGAGAATGTGAGAATCTTTGAAAATAGAAGGGATGATGTTGAAGGATTATGAGACCGGTATTTCTTGGCTTCATTTTGGGCATCCGTGACTAAGGAAGTTGAGACTATTCATCTTTTTAGCATTACTACGAGCTGAACAGCCTCTTGCGGATTGTAATATTTGTGGTTACTGTCCTAGTTGTTGTGGTTTTTTTTTTCCTGTGGATGGCTTCCATTTTTGGGTTGGACAATTTGTCCACTTGAGATCAGCATTTGTAACACTCCTTTTATTATTAATAAAAGTGTTGCTTCTTATCGAGAACAAAAAAATGGAAAGTGGAATTGGTATAAACTACGGAAAAAGGAGAAAGAAATAAAAGAGAAAAGGAAAATAAGAGTGGTTGCTGGAAAGGAGTGAAGAAGAGAATAATATCTACATATAATACAATGTACAAAAATTAGTACTTTGGGATGAGTAAATCTTATATCTCGTTCATCAATACAACTATTGTATGGTCTACAACGGTGTGAGATGAATGGTTAGGTTGTGTGATTAGTTTTCATGCATTCTTCATTGGTGACACTCATTTAGGGGTGGTGGATGAATTTGGGTTCATTGAGCTTTCTGATTTCCTGTGATTCAACAAGGATGTTGAGCCATTTGCAAGTTGTTTCCTTTGTGTGTTCCCTTAAAAAAATCTTATATCTCGTACTCTAACATGAATTTTTAGACTAATAAATCTGTTAGAGTATTTATATTCTAGGTAGTTTAGGCATTTTACATTGTTTTGTTTCCCTACTATATAAGGGCCTATATTGTGTATTCTAGGTTAAGCAATATTACAAACTTGTTTAGCAATGATAATATTTTCTTTTTCTCATTTCGCTCTTCTTTATTTGATCAAAGTTTACATGTGGACAATATCCTTTCACTCTTCTTTATTTGATTAAAGTTTACATGGTATCAGAGTATGGTTTCGATCCAAAATATATTGTAGCACCACAGTAATTTAATTGGAGAAAGAATATATTTTTGAATTAGGGCGGACATCATCTATAGTGATTTCTTTTGCTTTTTTCTTCGACTTCTTTACTTCATATCAAACCTAAGTAGTGCGACTAAAGGTTTTTGGTGCTTGGTTGTGTGATTTGAGGGCTAGTGATTGGTGGATTGCTGACTTTTTATGGTTCAAAGAGTTGTGAACAGTGCCGAAAATACTGTTCACACTATGTGAACAGTACCAAAGTTACTGTTCATGCTGTGAACAGTGCCATACTCGATTTTTAGTGCTATTTTTGTTGTATTGTTGTGTAAGAAATCTCAATTTGTTATGAGTATTTGATTTGTAAAGCTGTTGAGTTGATTTGTGGCAAATTTTGGATTGTTTGGCGTTGACAGCTTCTTTTGGTTCTAATTTCTGCTCTTGGCTTCGCTGGTATTCTCTTTGGGTCTTGTTTTGAGTTTGAGAATAGAACTTTGAGCTTACACTTATTTTGGACTACTGGGCATTTAGCTATTTGATTTGGGCTGATGCTGATTTGAACTTTTCTCTGTTGGGCTGCTGGTTTGACTTTTCTTCTCTCCTTTGTTGGGCTTTGTTTTGTTGGGTATTGTTGCTGGTATTTTTTGTTGGGCAACCCCAATTCTTTGGGTTTGTTAGTTTAGGCCGGTGCTGATTTGAGCTTCTCTCTGTTGGGTTGCTGGTTTGACTTTTCTTCTTTTCTTTGTTGGGATTTGTTTTGTTGGGCAACTCCAATCCTTTGAGTTTGTTGATTTGGGCTTCTTTCTATTGGGCTGCTGGTTTGACTTTTCTTCTTTTCTTTGTTGGGTTTTGTTTTGTTGGGTGTTGGTGCTAGTGATTTTTGTTGAGTTTTGGTTTTCTGTTGGACCCCTCATTGCTATTTGGGCCTTAATTTGTTGAGCCTACACTTGAAGTTTTTGTTGAGTTTATTATTTTTTTCTTGTAAGTCTCTGGAACTTTGTATTTACTCTGATGCGGACTGGGTTGATGACTCTATAGATCACAAGTCCACTACTGGTTTCTATCTCTTCCTTGATGATTCTCTTATTTCGTGGAAAAATAAGAAACAAACTGTTATGGCTCGATCATCTGCTGAAACTGAGTATCATGTTATGGCCTTCACAACAGCAGAGATAGTTTGGTTGCGTTGGCTACTTGCTGATCGTTTCTTTACGAAATATCACACTATCGCGCGCTTCTGTTTTCTTCTTAGTAAACTCTTGATGTTACCACATCATGAGTTTGAGAGTGGATGTTAGAGTATTTATATTCTGGGTAGTTTAGGCATTTTTCATTGTTTTGTTGCTCTACTATATAAGGGCCTATATTGTATATTCTAGGTTAAGCAGTATTACAGACTTGTTTAACAATGACAATATTTTCTCTTTCTCCTTTCGCTCTTCTTTATTTGATCAAAGTTTACATGTGAACAGTATCCTTTTACTCTTCTTTATGGTGGCCAATAATCACCCATATTTTTATTAGACAAAGTGTATGAATCATAAATTGTTAGAATAGTTGTTCTCATCTTCCCTAGCCTTCTTATTTAGTAAACCTTTATTCTGTTTCAATAAACTTTAATTAGAATTTTAATATTACTGATCTTAACAATTTTATGTTTTCTATGATATAAGATAGTCATGCATCAAAATTTCAAAGTCTGTTAATCTGTAGCAGTAAGTGTACAAGAAGTGATGAGCACATTTTATTTTCTAGTTATTGACACAACTTATGAAGTGTCGGAACATTGCTAATTAATTATTGACATGGAAAAAAGTGTGTTTGAGAAGTATCCCTGTCCGACATGGACTCGTTGACTTCTTGCAAGTGTTGGTGATTCTTAGTTTATCTTAGATATTATATTGTATGTAAGTCATTTTTAAAACACTTATAAAACGTTTTGTGATAGACAATAGGGAACCTTGAATGTATTGACTTTCCTATATCTTCATGCATCAGAAAAAGAATGTTTCATGTTTGTTGTCAGTTATCTGATTTAAAGCTATGGTTGGGGTACTTGGAATATGGTTTCATCATTTGGTTGAAGAATTGGAACATTGTGTGCTTTGGTTTCTTTTTGATTCCACAATGGGTATTCTTGTTCATATGGGAAAAGGGGCTTTTTATAAATACCCTTTTTTATTCATTTTTGCTATGGATTCTTTTAATTGCACTAACCTGGACGTCATTTATGTAACAGACAAAGGGGTTTCAAAAATTTGTATACTTTGAAGGGTGGCGTTTCCCATTTTCTCAAGAGTGAAGGCCCACTGGAATGGGTCGGGAATTTATTCGTTTTTGACTCCCGTCTTTCTCTACCACCTCCTGGCTACAAGGCCGAAGTTATGACAGAATCAAGTGGGATAGAAGAACATTCCAAGAGTAGTTCATTTGCTAGATGCTACACATGTGGGTCACAACTTTTTGAGTTGAGGCACCGTAACTGTGCAAATCTTGATTGCAACCTGCTTTTTCTGTAAGTCATTTATTTACTTTTTTTTATGGGAAGCTGCAAGTTATTTTTCCTTCATTACTGGAAAGTCATTAGAAAAACCTTAAAATTAATTCTTGAATGTGGAGAAGGCATGAACATGTATGTGCATCTACAAAACCCAAGGAGGAATATTTAACCCTATCCTCTGCTCTCTCTTTACATCTATCTCTTTCAAACTTCTGTTTTTGGGGGAAAATGACCTTGTGAATGGCATAGAGCTCAATTTAGGTCCAACACCAGGTACGGAAACTATTGGGTTTTGTTAAGTAGTCTAATATTACTATCTATAATAAGTGTATGAGAGAGTATGGTTACAATTCTCTGCTGCCTCTCACACAATTCTTTTCTAATTCTCTCTATCTAACAAATTTTAAACATAAAATGAGATCAGACCAGGTTAGGTCATCAAGGAAGAACTCGAACAAGAGCTCAAAGGCATTCTTTTTTTTTTGTTGGTTCATAGTCCACAGACTCCACACAGGGTTCTGGTCTTGTTACTTTATGTTTCAGAGTCAATTAATCCCTCGATCAAGTCCTAACTAGAAATATCTTAAGAGAAGACGAGAAATCATTTGAATTCGAGGCGAAACCCTTCTCCACCGTTACGGAGTTCTTCTGTTTGTATCTGATTTGTTTCTTGTCTCTTTTATCTTTTATCTTTCTCTTCCTTTCTTTCTTTTGTTTTTTTATTTCTTTCTTTCTTTTGTTTTTTTAGCCTCTTGTGTAGTCTCACACTGAAGCCTTCAGCAGGGATGATTTCTTTTCAAATGTAGACCTCCAGAATTGATTCTTCAACCATTTGATTGTTATTTGGCATTTGATCTTTGCGTCTGATTACTTGGTGATTAATAGTGGCCTGAACCGAAGTGTTGTTTGCTGAAGGACGACTAGTGATGATGAATTTGTGGATGTCGAAGTGTGAATTTCGTTTGATTGCAACAAAGTTGTAATTGTGATTGCTTTGTTGCGGAGTTATTTGATCTGTAAACATTGCTTGCTATCATTCTCCACTGTTGTCATCATAGTGATTGTGCTGCGTTTTGAAATTGTGATTGGTTTTTGTGCATCAGAGTCAAATCTATCCTTTGTAATCTTGATCTGTGACTGAAGTCCTTGTCTAGTTTGAGGTTGTTTCTGTTTCTTTTTATTTTGGAGCCAGTCGTTTGCCTCACTGGGGGATTCTTGGTCTGTTCGTGAAGTTGTTATGGAGAAGACTGGAGTGTTTGGTTGACGGTGTTTGTGTTGTTTTTTTTCAAGGGTTCTTCTATTCCAAAAGGGTTAGCTTAATCGAGTTGACCGACGATTAGAGTTCCATAACTAGCGATAAACAGTGTAAGTGGGGCTAATCTAAAATTTGAAGTCCCTGGCTTTTGGATCTAGTTTCCTGAACCCTAATTACTGTAACTTAACTATTTATCAAAATTATCATTTCATAAAAGTGATTTTTTTTATTCTGACTTCTACTTACCATGTTGTATTATTCGATTTACGGGTGATTAGGAAAATAAGGATTCTTCAGTTCAATAGCATTTGAACTAGATTTCTTTCATGTGTATTTTTGTGATAGCATTTGTTAAGTGTTTTTATTTAGGGATTCAGGCACTGAGGTCTTTGAAAATTTTAATAATTGGGTTATGAGTCCCCTCTTTTCTCAATGCTCGATGTTTTACTTGAAACTGTAGGCTCCATTTCATTTGCTAGAAGCTACTGCAGTGCACATTTGATTGTCTTGTTCATTGCAACGTACTTATCTATATTTGTTCCTCTCCAGATGCTGTGAATTCTGCTTGAATGAGTTGCGAGGGTGTTGCTGTTTGAAATGCACATCTGCCTCTCGGCTTAGGCCTCTGCTACCTGGCCATCAAAGATACCGAAAATGGCATCATTATAGAGACCCAGAGTTACAGAGTAGATGACTACTTAATCAAGACTCGATTTTGGAAAACAGCAAAGTGGCTTTTGGTACATTTCCTTATCTGAATGTTTGATTTGATGTTTATGTTTTTTTAAATTGAATGGCTTTTACTTTCATAATTTAATGAGGTGTTAATTTCATTATATATGTTTTGTGATTGAGATATATTTAGTGTTAATTGAATGTATAGCTACCACCATCTAAGAAAATTATATAAATGCCTCATCATTCTCAAACGTCTAGTCTCTCTCTTCACACACACACACACACACATTCAATCTCTCATGCTCCACCAGTGCCACCAACGTTACCACTGAGAATGGTGTAGATAAGATATATAGAGACTATGACATACTGCTGAAGTTCTATATATACTATGAATGGTGAAAATAAGATATCATGAATGAAGTGAATTTTCTTGGAGAAAAGCAAGTCAATGGCGATACTATTTATTGTTTTCAATTATCCTTTGTACATGATGATGGATACTTATTTTGCCATTTTATTGGATTTCTTTCAAGTTTCCATACTGTAATATGTCTGTCTATATACACTATGAATGGTGTAGATGGTATCATGAAAGAAGTAAATTTTTACGAAGAAAAGTAAGTTATTTATTGTTTTGAACTATCCTTTGATTTGAACATGATGGATGATTTAGTCACTTGCCTGTTAATTTATTTTGTCTAATGTCAATATTTTTAATCAACTAACACGATTCTTATAGAGTAAAATGAATGTATCCCATATCTCTCACGTCGCTGCCCAGCCACCACCGCCTCAGCCCATCAAAGTAAACCATAAGCACCTCGCATGACAACAAACCTCTATAAGGTATCTCTCTCTCTCTCTCTCTATTCTGTTCTCTTCTTCGTGTTCCACCCGGGGGGTGACCCTTACCATTTTGGAGCCTAAAGTGGCAACTATAAAAAAGGCCTTTTATTTTTAAAAATAATATTTTATTTAAAATTTATTCTTCTTGCTTTTTGAGATGCAAAAGTACTAATTAAAATTTTATTTCAAGTTTTGCTGTCATATCTTTTTCGATTGATAGTATTGCTAACTCATTTAATATTTCTTGTAACATAGTTGACTTTAGATGAGATTTTATTAATTTTAATTTTGAAATTTTTTTTATGCAGAAGCAACGGTTACAAGAATTATCAATAATATTCTATAAGTTATGCATGTATTCAAAAAAGAATCTAATTATTCTATATAACTAAATATTTCAATTGAAGTAATTTCTTCCACAGGTAAAATTTTCTTTAGAAACTTTACGAAAAACTCAAGATTAAGATAATATTTTTTAAACTATCATTTCCTAATAATTTTAATTTTTTTTAAATTAAATAAAAAACCAAATATATTTTCATATATTTGAAATTGTTCAAATCTATTCTTTAACAAAGAAATAGTTTGATCTACTATGTATATAAAATAATCAGTTCTAAACGATTCTTCAACAGATTTTGTTACTTCGTCATCAACATTCTTATCAAATTGTTTCTTCCTACGAATTGTACGTTTTTTACAAAATGTAGGTTCTATTCCCATTTCAATTACAACCTCTTTAGAAGAAATCATAGCATTTGTAAATCTATTTTCTCTACATTTTTCAAAAAAAAAAAATGAGACCTTTTAATTGATCTATAGCAACATCAATATGCATGTCTTTTCATTGTATATGTTTACTAACTAAGTTGATGGAAAATAAAATATCATACCAAATAATCATATGCCCAATAAGAACTAAAAATTCTCAATTTCATATGTTGCTAAACAATTAGCTTCACTTCTTGTTTTAGGATCTTCACTAGTTTCCCCTAATTGTAACAATGCATCTCTTATACTTGGACCTTGAAATTTAATTGTTTTAACACTTTCAATTCGAATTTTTCAACGTGTTTGTGACAATGATTTAAGAGTTAAATCATATACATTATTTTGTACAAATTTTCATCGTTTTGTAAAAAAAGCAAATAATGAATATATGCGTTGTACTACTCCAAAAAATGACATAGCCTTGGGACAAGAGTTAGTCATATTGCAAAGTACTAGGTTTAGATTATTACAACCATATGACATGTAAAATGTTCTAGGATTTATACCTAGAAGTCTTTTTTGTACCCTTTGATGTTTTTCTTTCATGTTAGATCCATTATCATACCCTTGTTCATGTATATCATTAATATCAAGTTTGAGGTTTGTTGTTGTGTCTATGATTTTGTGAAAAATACATTTTCCACTTGTATTATCTACTTTAAGAAACTCTAAAAAGTATTCTTCTATTTTTATTGGACTTGTTGAGATATCTACACAATGTAATATGAGAGATATTTGTTCTTGATGACTTACATCCGGAGTACAATCAAGAATAATTGCATAATATTTTACTTCTTTAATTTTCTTAATAATATTATTTCTAATTTCATTTCCTAATAGACTTGTCAATTCATTTTGTATCTTATGCCAAAGATAATGGTTATAAATTTCATCACGTTGAATGTGTCGGATGTCTTCTTACATTATTGAATCAAATTCTGCTATCATTCAATTATACTTAAAAAATTTTCATTATTTTCTTGATATTTCTTTTCATTTTTTCCCAAAATGACAAATTATTTTTACCAAGATTCTTTACAACTGCAATAATTCTCACTATTACGTTTTTCCAATATTCTTTCTCTCTATTAATTTGTTCTTGGATGGTTTTATCAATTGTTTCACTTTTTAACAATTTTATTCCTAAATCAATCTAAGTATTCATATTAGTAATATGTTCATTAGATATTTCATGACTTTTAAGTTTAATACTAAGATTTCTCAAATCTTTAGTCCCTTCATTAGCTAGTTTACTTGTATTATGATTCATCAAACAACTTACAATAAAAACAAAATACTCTATCCAAATCTTTTTCTATCACATGTCTCCCCATTTGCTAATTTACGAATATAATGTATAGTGGAAAAATGTCTAGAAAGCTCGTCTTTGGGAAAATCTAAATTATTATTTCTAATAGGACATTTTCTACTAATAAGTCTCTTAGTTTTGTATCAATATTATTCCATTGACTTGGATCATAAATATTCATAGCATTATAATTACTTGTTTCATTAAGATTGTCATGGTCTAATTTTTTTGCTTGTTCTTCATCATCTATTGTCATATTACATGTTTGACTAGAATTGTGCATATTTTCATTAGTATTTTTTTGTTGTATTATATTATCATCTTCTAATTCATTGGGAGTAATTATTAGTTCATTTTACTAAATTTTCACCTATATTTTTTGTTCCATTTTTTGTTACTAGTAACAAATTTAGCAAGAAATTTTTTTTGAGATTCCATTAATTTATCTCTTTTTTTTTTTTTGAGCTTTTCATATCCACCCGATTGTTTTCTACTTGTCATACTATCAAATATTATCTAAACAATCACAAATAATGAAACAATCACACACAATCTATGTTAAAAAATATATATAATAAGAACTTTAAATAAAAAATTCAAAGCATAGAATAATAACACCTGATTTGTTGTTATTTTTAATTTTCCTGCGAAAATCGACTATCATCGTAGAAGAAGCCAAAACAATGCCTCAGCCAACAAAAAATAATGGCATAGTGAAGTCCCTATCACAGAGACAAATTTTACAGTGGAGAGAGGAGATAGAGAGGCCCCCCAGCCTTTGTTGGCTAGAGAGAGAGATGTCTGTTTTGCCTCTTGGCATTTCCAGATTATTTTACCGTGCAGAGAGGAGAGAGGAAAGAGAAAAATAAGGATAAAGAGTGAGTAGTTAGAGGAATATGCTAAGAATTGTTATATAAAAATACTAGGGATAATCTTTGCAGAAAGGCACGGTGCAACTAAAAAAAATCAAAAAATGAATTTGAATGCAAAATAATCAAGCAAGAGTTAAATCGTATGTTTTTTATCTAATGGTGGAAATGGACGAAATGACTTAATTAAGACAATTGATAATTGAGGAACTAAATTGAGAGATTTGAAAGTTCAAGGACCAAATTGAAACCCGTGACAAAATTTAGGGACAAATTATGATATTTACCCTAATATTTTTATCAATACTCCATCAAAGTACAATTAATGAATCTTTTTGGCTTAGTGAACAAAATCAATAAGGAGTCAACTACTTGAACTCTTTACCAAAGCACAAAACATAAGCTCAAACACAGCGAATTAAATTCCCTACATCCCAATTATCTAACAAACAACATATTCAGTCATCGTCAAACAAATCGTATAGAAATCTAACGGTAACTCATCGCTTGGTAATAGATAAAATACTAAAAAACAAAACGCAAAATTCCATTCCTATGAATTAAACATAACACAAACTGAGGGAGAAAAAACAGCTTGATCACACATCCTTTGTTAACTACCATATTCTTCATATCTTTTCTTTCGGTAAACATTCTTCGTTTCTTAGAAGATCAACTGAACATAAACCAAAGAGGTCAAAATTTTATTCCGTTCAGTGGGTTACCTAAGGTATTAGATGGACAACCATCAACAGTTGTCATCAACCATAACTTTGACCACTTAAATTCAAAAAAAAAATTATATTAAATCAGGAATACTCCAAATTACACAACTAACCAAACAGGAAAAGGAAAAAAAAGAACTAAAACTCACTTACGTGATCTTTCCAAAATCATCACCATCTATAACCACTGCAACAAATGCCCAGAAGATCACAACAAAATTCAATACAATAGATTAAAATCAAAGCAAGATAACAACAAACCATGGAGAGTTATGAGAACTCAACAAATAGGTAGCTAAGCCTCTAACCCACAAATAGGCATCTAGATGTCATCATTCATTATTCAAGGAGTCATCTAAGCCTCTAATCCACTGAAACTACTTAACGCAAAATAGGTAACACAATTTCATAGAAAGAGAAAGTATCACATAGTTTAAGCAAGTTTAAAAAAATATAAATAAATATCCTACTTATGTGACAAACCAATATAATTCTCTATTGTTAGTTTAAGCTCTAGAATCAATAAATAGAAATAATTCTTATGTGATAAAATATTTAGCAAAGAGAAAACAGTTAACTGAGACGTTTGGAACCTATGATGAGAAAGAATAAGCTTGAGTTCTCCATCCATAAAATAAAAAAAAAATCTATTTCATACACAACGTCAACAAATTAACCACGCAAGGAATGAAATGACAGGAGCACATACTCACAATTAATCAATATGGGAGTAAGGAATTTAAGAAAGCGTTTCACATTCGAGCTAAATTAACATATTCTATGTATTTATGTGTTACTTGGTGAATCAATCGGTAAAAGCTATGCTGACCATTTGTTCCTGGTTCACCAAAATCAATCTCACTGGCCTCATAGGGAAGAGGCAGACCGTCAATCGATACTCCTTTCCCATTACTCTCCATGCTAACCTAAATTGGGTTAAATTTGGAAGGCCTTAAGGGTATTATGCTAAAGATTCCAAAATAATATTCAAGCTGAAAGCTATGTTAAGCAAACCTGTTGAATATGTGGGGCAAACTTTTTTCAGGGCTTGAGAGTAAGGCAAAATGGCCTGCAAGAATTTGAAGCTTTAAGGTCATGGGGTGTGAAGTAAGAAGACATTATCAGAAAATCGTCAAACGACGGAAATTAAATGTAGCATCTTACTCACTCTTGCAAGGTAACCAAGAAACAAAACATTCCATATGATCAACAAACCTAGAAGCACCTGAAGCAATGCCAATAAACAGTAAAATAAGTCATCCAAATATCTAACTAACATCTAGGGTATCTAGAAAAAAAGTTATTAAAAAAAACAGAGCCGAGAAATGATCATGCCATTTGGACATACAGGTATGTTTTTCTCAAATGGTGTCGAATAGAAATGTTGATCAATGCTTGAAGCTCCCTTCAGAAACCTTCAAAATAAGAACAAAATCGTTAAGGCAACTACTGACCAAAATAAAGTGAAAAGAAAATAACAAAATTCATTGCTGCGCCAACATAAAATGCTTTTGGATATTAAGCATTGTGCCTTAAATTCAAGAAACTGTAACTAGAAAAAAAAAGAATTCATATCAATCAAACAAAAAATCAATGGTAAAGTATACTATATTTCTCTTAGACATTTCAACAAAAACTTGGTGTGGAGTATGTAAAATTACATGAACAACTAATCACAACAACTGTACCATACGAATGCTTGAATAAGTGATGAATGTTTTGCAATCAGAAAAAGAGATGAGTTGTGGAGATAGAGAAGTAGAGACAGAGAGGAAAAGAGAAGCAGAGAGTTTTAACGTGTACCTGAAATCAGTCGGGGCAATGGAGAATTCTAGCAAAGAGTCTGTGCGTTATGATCAGCAGTTGGAATTAATCAATTTGACACTAAGTGAGGGAGAGAAGATTTGCAGACATTAGGGATTTAATTAAAGATTTGAGAATCACTGGTACAAGAAGGTGATATTTTGAATTCTTAAGATAGGATTGAATGCCAATTTTACATATTGGTATGGAAAGAGGATCACCAGAGGGATAAAGATCGGTGAGAGAGGGAGAAAGATAGAATAGGATGTAGTTTTGGGAAGGAGAAACATGATTCTTCGGAGTGGGAGAGAGAGAGAGAGGCGCGTGAGAAAGGGAGGAGAGGCAGAAGTGAGAGGGAGAGGCGAGAGACAAAGGTCTCTGTTGGGCGCAAAAGAAAAATTTAATATTTATTGTTGACCGTTAGATCATAAATTTTGAGATGATTTGAACCGTTTTTTATGTTGAGATTACATTATCCGTTGCATGTGTTTATGTTTTGTCTCAAAATAATCTGGACCTCTCTTTGTTTTTTGGATTCAAATTTCGTTCTACTTTATTATATGGATCTCTCTAACAACTGTACATCACTTTTATAGATATATTTTTTTTTAATAGTTTTTTTGGTACATGGACGAAAGAAATAAGCCCAAACTATCTAATTTAAATCTAATTTTTAACTTTTTTGTTGGGCTTTAATTTTTATAAAATTGAATTTTTATTTTGAATTAGTGGTCATAATAATAAATTATGGGATGTAATTAAAAATTAGGGCCTAAAGCCTGGGCTTTGCTGACCTTACAACAGCGTCGGCGGTGGTTCCAACTCCTACAAACACAAAAAATCCCACACACATGCACAACACAAACACACACCTAGATACACAACACACACGCACCCACACATTTAATGCACACACACATTAGGTGTAACCAATTACTTTTAATTTACCCATTTCATAGCTATCATATATATTTCCCAATTATTTTCTCCAAAAATTCAATTTTATCTTTTATTAATTGTGAAAATACGAATTTGTTAATTTTTGAATGTTATAATTTTTAGTGATATTGTGTGTAGTTTGTATGCGTTTTATTTGTTCTGTATGTAGTACGATGAACTAATTACGCATGATTATTAAGATATGTTCGATTTTATGTGAATTAATGATTATTTTGGTCGTTGGTATGAACTGCTAATTTTGAGAAAAGTATAGTAGAATTGTGGTGGTACAGTGTATAATGATAATTATTATATATGATTGTAAATTATGTCGAAAGATTTAGATTTTTTTGAACTCTTATATTTAAAGAAAATTATGCCAAAATTTTTGAAAAATAGTAAGGACTAATTTGATTTCAATTTTTTATATTAAATTAAATGAATTAAAAATTATTTTAAATTAATAATTTATTTTAGATTGTAAAATTTCTTTAGACAATAATATGATAACTTTATTATATCATTCAAAATCTGACAGAGATGTAACCAATGCGAAGATAATCAACAAGATAAGTTAAACATGTCCTGTTCAGAAAAAAAAACGTGCCCTATTGTTTATCTACTTTCCACGTGTCAACATGACAAGCAAATAATAAATTACAACATCATCACTTTATCTGGCAATTGACCTTGTGTCTATCTCTTTGGTACGATCAAAAAAAAAAAATGGTAAGTGGTTATTTATTTTTTTAACCTTTAACTAATTATTTATTTCCATTAAACACCTAATCCCAAACTTATATACCTATCGGTGAAATAGATGTATTATTATGTGATTTGTGTTTGTTAAAACACATGATACATATATCATAGTGATATGATATATAATATATACACTAATCTCATATAAGGCTAAAATAGTAAATTATGTATGTATATTATTTCTATCCTTTTATTTTTTTCATCAATATCAAACATTGAGTCTAAGTAAAAGTTCTCTAGATATAAGATATGATTATCAGTGAATCTCATAAAATATTGAAATTTGATGGTAATTTAACGGTTATAATGAAGTCATGTAATTAGGTTAGATTCAAATAGCATTGCTCTTAAAAAGAAAAAAAAAAGTGATATTTAAAATAACTTATTTAAATTCCTTACAAAAAAATAAAACATAGGGACCACATAACTCAAACTAAATTCTTTATAAACCAAATTGAAGCGTTTGAATGCACTAAAAATTGTAGAGTGGAGATTGTAGATATTCAAAATTTCATGTTATGTTAACTTTTATGTCTATTCAACCGAAGGAAGGGACTTTTTATGTACTATATGTAAACTATTCAACCAAAAGTATTTAACACATCGAAAACCTTTTCTTTTTTTATTTTTATTTGGTGGGTTTTGTGAATAATGTGAATACTTTGGATCCATTGGCAATCCAACGACAACGGTACAATAGCAACATTACGTGTTCAGCTCTATAAATACCACCTCTTTTGCCTTATCACGGTGCACCTGATCAAACATACATAAGAGTAGCTCACAATGAAGACCAAGGGTTGTGAACTGCTGCTTTCATTTCTTCTGGCCTTTGCCATTATAACAAATGCTTTGCTTGGTGGTGGTGCTGCTGCTTCTGATGTAGTACTTGACTTAAGTGGTGGGAAAATGCCAGTAACCGATTACTACTACATAGAAGACCCTTTGTTTCGCCCTAGAACGGTAGTCCAACTAGTCAGTGGTGGAAACGAAACATGCCCACTTGATGTGGGCCCACGTATACAATTACTCGGTGGCATCCCAGCGAGGATTTCGCCTGTGAACTCCGACGATGGCGTGGTCCGTGAATCCACTGATCTCAACATCAAATTCGTTTGGGTACCACCATGTGCTCAGTCTGGTGTGTGGAATGTTCAGTACGATGAAGAGTCTGAAGAATATTTTGTGAGAGTTGGTGGAGTAGAGGGAAACCCTGACTGTGAAACCATAACCAATTGGTTTAAGATTGAAAAACTTGGAGATTACTACAAGCTCGTTTTCTGTCCAAGTGTCTGTAACAATCATTACTGCAACGCCATTTGTAAAGATGTTGGCCGTGATTCCGAGGGTCGCTTCGTTCTAAGCGATACACCATACCGGATCGGGTTCAGAAAGTTCGAACTCTTGAAATCAAAGATCAGCTACCAGTACTAATAACCTATGCAGCATGCAAATTATTTTAAGTATGTATGTATTGTAATAATAAGGAAGGTTGTTCCCTTCCAATGGTATTGCAATAAAATGCTGCTGTGATATTCACTAGCCTTTTTTGTGAGACTAACAAGAAAATATGCATGGGAAAAATAAATGAGTGTTGTTATTAAGACCTAAATCATAATCATGTGTGGATATGTTATTGCGACTCAAACTGTTAAATTTTTCCATTGAACTTTGTCCTTGACATATATTATTATGTCAGTAAATTAAGTCATTTTTTAAAATTTTAATTGTATTACTCAAAATAAATTTTAGCTCTTCCCTTTTTTTAGATTGATGCTTAATTAAACACTGGGAATGCTTTAAAATGTTTTTCAGACTACGATCACTTCTTCCATCTCTCTTTGTTAAGTCATCTGTGTGTGTGTGAAATGTGAGCAAGACAAATGGTCATTTCACATTCTTGAAATAAAAGATTTCTCTTCTCTATTCCACTGGCTGATATTGATTGTCCTTTACTACTTTCTCACTCTCTTTCTCTCTCACACGTTTATATTCTTTATTCTTTGAATTTTATGAACATATTATTTTTTTGGTTAAATTATTATACTTTATATTTTTTTATTATACGATCGGTCCAACCAGTTGATCTAACGGTTGAACCAAAATGAATCATTTACTTAGTCTCTCTGTAGATGTGATGTCTAGCTCGGTTCTAAAAACACTGAACTGAACCATAAATATTTTCGATGAAATTAGAAAATCATCAGGATAGACTTGTTAATTATTATTTATTATATTACTTGTTCAGTTTCTGAATCACAATAAGTATAATAACACATACATCTCTCAATAGTTTTTGCATGTGAACCCCAACCAAGGTGTATGAAGATTGTTGATACAATAAAAGGACAATTGGTTTAAAGTTGAAGATTTTGAAGATCACTACAAACATATAATAAATGATGAATGTATCACATTTAAATTTAATATGTGATGCACATAGCTATCGACCATATACTTAAGATTCAAAATGACTGGCCGGTAGTTATGTGCATCACATATTAAATTTAGACCATGATGAATGTATCAATGTGGACCAATCTGGATCGTCATTTATGTTATGTTCTTGAAGGCAAAACAACGCCTCAGCCATAAAAAAATAATGGCACAGTAAAGTCCTTGTCACGAGACAAATTTTATTGTAGGGAGAGGAGATAGGGAGGTCCCCTAGCCTTTGTTGGCTAGAGAGAGAGAGCAAAAAGAGGAGAGGGGGTCTGTTTTGGCTCTTGACCTTTCCAAATTATTTTATCGTGGAGAGAGGGGAGAGAAGAGAGAGGAGAGAGGAGAGAGGAGAGAGGAGAGAGAAAGATAAGGATAAAGAGTGAGTGGTTAGAAGAATATGTTGAGAAGTGTAATATAAAAATATTTCTAACAACTGTACATCACTTTTAAATTTATATTTTTTTTAATAGTTTTTTTGGTACAAGGGCGGAAGAAATACCTCCGAACTATCTAATTTAAATCTATCTTTTAACTTTTTTGTTGGGCTTCAATTTTTATAAAATTGAATTTTTATTTTGAATTAGTGGTTATAATTTTTGATTAGTGCATGTATGTGTTTTGGGGCCTAAAGCCTGCACTTTGCTGGCCTTACACAAAACACATACATGCTCAACACAAAGACGCACCTAGATACACAACACACACGCACCCCACAGATTTAATGTAAACACACATTAGCTGTACCCAATTGCTTTCAATTACATTGCTCAAAAAAAAAAAATTTAATTTACCTATTTCATAGCCGTCATATATTTTTCCCAATTATTTTCTCCAAAAATTCAACTTTATTTTTTATTAATTGTTGAAATACGGATTTGTTAATTTTTGAATGTTATTGTTGTTAGTGATATTGTGTGTAATTTATATGTGTTTTGTTTGTTTCGTATTTAGTACGATAAATTAATTAAACATAGTTATTAAGATATGTTCGATTTCATGTGAATTGATGATTACTTTGATCGTTGGCATGAATTGCTAATTTTGAGAAAAATAAAATTGAATTGTGGTGGTACGGTGTACAATGATTATTATTGTATATGATTGTAAATTCTGTTGACAGATTTAGATTTTTTTTACTCTTATTTTAAAAGAAAATTATGCCAAAATTTCTAAAAAATAGTAAGGTCTAACTTTATTTTAATTTCTTATATTAAATTAAATGAATTAAAAATTAGTTTAAATTATTAATTTATTTTAGGTTGTAAAATTTGTTTAGACAAAAAAATGATAACTTTATTACATCATTTAAAATCCGACAAAGATGTGAGCAATGCGAAGACAATAAAAATAAAAAGTTTCCTGTTCAGAAAAAAAAATGCCCAATTCTTAATCTACTTTCCACGTGTCAACATGACAAGCAACTAACAAGTTAAACCCTTATCACTTTATCTGGCAACGTGTCAACATGCCTATGTCTTTGGTACGATAATCCATACTGTGGAGTTGGATACATTAGAGTGACTGTACCTTGCTCATCCCCTCACCCATACTTGTGAGATTAATCTTAACACGACTTCTCTGTGGGGTGCCATGTATTTTCGGTATCTTTTATATGTAAATAATTCATAGGTGGTGAAAAACACAATTTTTATAAGTAAATTAGTTATTGTCTATGCTTGAAGATATGAAGTAATAAAAAAAAAAGTCATCAATAAACATATTTGTATTTACATGCAAAATCAAATCATAAATATAGAAAAGAAAGAAAAGAATTTAAACACCAGTTCTAGTGAGGGTGAGCGATGATTACAGTGGTGGTGAGAGACGGTGATGGTTGTGGTGCGTGGTGGCAGCCGTGAATGATAACGGTGATGATGGTGGTGGGTATGGGTAGTGGTGGGAGGCAATGACGGTGGTGGTGGCAATGGTGGGAGACCATTAGTGCTTTTTAGACGACAATGTGATAGGAGGTGATGAATGACGGTGGTTGTGTATAAGAGTGGTGAAAGTGGATGACAATGGTCGACGACAGGGGGTGGTGGATTGTGGTAGTGGGTGGCGGTGGATTGTGATAGTGGGTGCTGACGGTGGGCGATAGTTGTAATGGGATGATGGTGATAGTAATAATAAATATAAGAATGAGATGACGATGGTAGTTGGTGGTGGCGATGAACGACGATGGTGGATGGAGATAGTGGGGGTGGAGGTGGAGATGCTCAAATAACAAGTGTATATAAATAACAATAATAAATAATATAAGTGATTTGTTGATAATGATAATTATTATATATGATTGTAACTTCTGTTGACAAATTTAAATTTTTTTGAGTTTCTATTTTTAAAAGAAATTATGCCAAAACTTCTAAAAAATAGCAAAGACTAACTTAATTTTAATTTCTTATATTAAAGTAAGTGAATTAAAAATTATTTTAAATTTATAATTTATTTTAGATTGTAAAATATCTTTAGACAATAATATGGTAACTTTATTACATCATTCAGAATCTGACAAAGATGTGACCAAATGCGAAGATAAAAATCAAGCACCGGTAAAACAACAAAAATAAAAAGTGGAAAGCACATAAGATAAGTTAAACTTGTACTGTTCAGGAAAAAAAAAAAAAAAACGTGCCCCATTCTTTATCTACTTTCCACGTGTCAACATGACAAGCAAATAATAAATTACACCCTTATCACTTTATCTCGCAATTGGCCTTGTGTGGTACGATAAAAAAAAATGAAACAGTTAAAAGGATGTAAAATTAAATAAAAAAAATATTATATTTGATAAAAAAAAAATTTGAAGAATAAAAAAATTGATAAATAAATTTTTTTTTCGATTCATTAAAATCAATCTTTTAAAAATTGAGCTAAAAAGGAAGAATTATATTATATGTTCCCACTATATGTGTATGTGTGTTGATTTTTTATTTAAAAATCAAATAAAAAAATAGATTTATTACTTTGTAATTTGTGCTGTTAAAACACATGATACATATACCACAGTGATATGATATATAATATATACATTAATCTCATACAAGGATACAATAGTAAATTATGTATGTATATTATTTTTGTCCTTCTATTTTTTTCATCAATACCAAACATTGAGTCTAGGTAGATGATAAGATTATTAGTGAGTCTCATTAAATATTGAAACTTGATGATAATGTGAATATTCAGTCTTGATTTTTTTTTTTTTTTTTTTTGAACTTGGTGGATTTTGTGAATAATGTGAATACTTCGGATACATTGTCAATCCAAGGAGAACGGTACAATAGTAACATTACGTGTTCAGCTCTATAAATACCACCTCTTTTGCCTTATCACGGTGCACCTGATCAAACATACATAAGAGTAGCTCACAATGAAGACTAATTGTTGTGAACTGTCGCTTTCATTTCTTCTGGCCTTTGCCATTATAACAAATGCTTTGCTTGGTGGTGCTGCTGCTGCTTCTGATGCAGTACTTGACTTAAGTGGTGAGCAAATGCAAGTAACCGATTACTACTATATAGAATGGCCTTTGTTTCGCCCTACAACGGGAGCCACACTATTCAGAGCTGGAAACGAAACATGCCCACTTGATGTGGCCCCAGTGCCACTCAATGGCATCCCAGCGAGGATTTCACCTGTGAACTCCGACGATGGCGTGATCCGTGAATCCACTGATCTCAACATCAAATTCGTTTTCGTATCACCATGTGCTCAGTCTGTTGTGTGGAAGGTTCAGTACGATGAAGAGTCTGAAAAATATTTTGTGAGAGTTGGTGGAGTAGAGGGAAACCCTGGCTGTGAAACCATAACCAATTGGTTTAAGATTGAAAAACTTGGAGATTACTACAAGCTGGTTTTCTGTCCAAGTGTCTGTAACAATCATTATTGCAACGTCATTTGTAAAGATGTTGGCCTGGATTCCGAGGGTCGCTTCGTTCTAAGCGATACACCATACCAGGTCGGGTTCAGAAAGTTCGAATTTTTGAAATCAA